GCCGCGGCCGAAGCAGCAGCGGGCGCGCAAGGAGGCCGCGCCGCGGCGGCCGCGGCCGCCGCGGCCCGAGGCGCCGGCGCAGCCGAGGGTGGAGCGGCAGCCTGAGGAGATCCGGAACACAGACTGGCTTGAGATAGCGCAGAGGTGGGGCGGAGCACTGGGGTTATGAACGCTCGTCTTGATCCCTAATCCCTACACCCTGGCCGCGTGCCAGGCCGGGGCCGGGCAGGGGGCCGTGTTTGGGCGGGGGCGGGGCGGCAAGGGGTCGGGCGCCGCCGCGGGGCGCCGCCGCGCGGCGACGCGCACACTCCCACCCGCCCGCAGCCTGCAAGCTTCGGCAGGCGGCGGCGCCCTCCGATGCCGCGGCGGCCTGGGCGGCATCCCTCCGCCTGCCGGTCGCAAGAAGGCACCCTGGCGAGCGTGGCCCCCCTGGCGAGCGTGGCCCCCCTTCTCCTCCCACTCAATCGCCGCAGGGAGCGCGAGGAGCAGCGCAAACGGCTGGGGCTCGGGCAGGAGGCGGAGGCGGCCGCGCCCGTGGTCGTCGGGCGCTGCTGCGCCAACAGGGGCGTGGGGGCGGAGGTGCTGGCCTGCCACAAGGACCCGGTCCGCGCGCAGGTGTTCAACAACGAGCGGCGGTACATCCTGAGGTGCAGGTGGGCGGGCGCAAGGGGCCGCGGGAGGACCTGGTGGCGCGCAGGCGTTTTGCTGCCCGCTTTCGCAACCCCCTGTGCTGCGCTGTGCTGCGGTGTGCTGCGGTGTGCTGCGCTGCGCTGTGCTGCGCTGCGCTGTGCTGCGCTGCGCTGTGCTGCGCTGTGCTGTGCTGCGCTGCGCTGCGCTGTGCTGCGCTGCGCTGCGCTGTGCTGTGCTGTGCTGTGCTGTGCTGTGCGTGGTTTTGCTGGCTGCAGGGGCGTGCCCTGGATCCCTGGCCCAGGCCGGGCGCCATCGAGCTCTTTGGCATCACAGTCCGACGCAGAAATCATGGCTCTCATCGTACACAAGGACACGTACACACACACACACACACACACACACACACACACACGCACACGCACACGCTCGCACACACACAGCGCGGGCTGCGGCGTGATGGCGTTCCACTACACCGACTGCTGGCGGCCCCTCAACGAGGCGTTCAAGCGCGCCACGGGGGACGACTTCAACGCGCTGCTGCGGGAGGCACGCAAGGCCGGGACCGTCAAGGTGTGTGTGCGCGCCTGCGCACGTGCGCGCACGTGCGCGCACGTGCGTGTGTGTGTGTGTGTGTGTGTGTGTGTGTGTGTGTGTGTGTGCGCGCACGCACATGCGTGCGTGCATGTTTTGAAGCAAAGTCTCAGTGCCACAACCGACCAGCCGCCAGGCCCTCGTGATGCCCAGACCCAACTCGCAAACGCCCATCTTTCGGACCCCGCCCCCAAACCTGTACTCCTCACACCCCAGGCCGTCCCCTGCATCACCGACGGCTGCCCGGGGCACATCCTGTCAGCTGACGTCTGGAGCAGCCCCACCAATCACGAGCAGTCCTTCTTCACAGCCAATAAGGAACAGGCGCGCCAGGGCCGCGGCTAGGAGGGGCGCGCCAATGGGGGGCGCCGGGGCGAACGGCGGAGAACGGGGGCTGTCGGCCGCGGCGGTCAAGGGGCATTCGGCTGTGTCGCTAGTCGTGTGGGTTTTCGCGCTGCAGCTGGGCAGGTATCGGCTTAGGACTCTTCGGCCTCAACAATCTGGCCTCCACCATTTGTCTTGCGTGGCTGGTTGGTGCGGTGCTATGTGTCTCCAGGTTATGCAGTTTGACAAGTGACTCCCCCAAAACAGGTCCACGAGGTCGAGAGGCTCGAGGCGGAGCGCCGAGCGGAGCACAGATCGGCCCAAGCTGCGCTGCGGCTCGCCAATCGCGCGGCCGCGTCCGCCGCCAACCTGGCCGCCTGGCGCGCGCGCACCGGCTGGAAGCCGAAAGCGCCGCGGCGGCCGCGAGACAAGGCCGCCGCGCGCGCGGCGCGCGAGGCGGCGGCGGCGGCGGAGGCGGAGGCGGCCGCGGCGGCCACGCGCGAGTCGGAGGGCGCGGCGG